CCAAGAGTGCGACATTACTGAGGTTATGCAGGTGCAAGTGTATTTCTGGAAAGGTTTGCTGGCAGGGGGAGTGATGCAGTGGGATCAGTAGTCAGAGCAGAAAATAGCCTTTGGGGGACAAATATAAAAGAAATGTACTCAGAAAATGGAAAATAACGTTTGTACAGTTGGCATTATGGAGTGCAGTTTTGGTGGTTACTGAGGCAATACTTTCCTTTGCTACGTGCTGTTGGTAGGAACTTGCATACCTTTATGGTTCATGGGCAGATGGAGTTCCTCGTCCGCTGCTTTGAGAGGTAGAAATACAAAACCTCACCAAGCCAGCGTGGCAGCCCTTTGCATACCATTCCTGTAGCATGTCAGGAATTTCAGTGCAACCTCAACAAAGTGAAGGAACACGGACAATCCCTGGTTGGGAATTTGATAAGGAGCGATGACCCAACTGGGACCAGACAGTGTGCTTTCCACAGACGTAGCCAAAGGCACTCAAGGCAGTGCCTGAGGAGTGAAGCAGGGTGACCACGAGTGGGCATCTCGCCCCATCCGGGACCCGATGGCTCAGCCTCCAGCCCAGGGATAAAAACAAGTCTGTTCCGCTTCGTTTCCTGCCTTGGAAAGCAGGGGGTTGAATGCTAAAAGGCTAATTGCACATTGTTTTTAAAAATTAGTTTGATAATTCATCATATAGTAATTAAACTAATTAGAACACTATTCATTTCCAACCACCTTAATTAGGCCTCAACTTGGCAGGGAGCCCATGAGACCAAAATGTTGCAATTCGTTAAACAATCAAAAGACTTTGATAACAAATGACTGTATTCAACTACATTTAGTTAATAAGATTTATATATTAATCTAGTTATACTTTGTTCCCCCAGAATTTGGCAACGCTTATGGGTCTTCTGATCCCCCTCTACGAAATTCCTGAGGTCTGAGTTAAAATAGCTGGAAAATGCTCTGAACCTCATAGCCTGGCCTGCTTTCTGTGCTGCGGCATGCGCTCTGAAGGCTGCAAGGCTTCTTCTCCCCCCTCCCCGCTCCCATTCTTTGTTAATGGGGTGAGCAGCTCTTCAAATCTAATTGCTGCTTTGTGCAACGAGCGCAAGCCGGGGCTGTAGGCAGCGATGCCGGGCGTCCGGCTGTCCGGCTGTCCAGCCGCAGGTTTGCTTCTGGGGGCGCTGTTGGATCAGGCTGTGTCTGTCCGTCCATCCGCCCCATGTGGCGGCTCTGCCGGTGCCACTTCTGGCCCCGCAGCCCCCGCACATCGCTGTGACAAACGTTCAGCACGGCCACCCCAGGCCAGCACAGGAGGTGGCGGAGGGCTGCCGTGGCGCTTGGTCGGGCGGCGGTGAATTTCCCGCCCGCTCTCTTTGACAGCGTAATGAAGTGATAATTGCCTAAATGAATAAATGTTGATGGCTGAGATAAATATGCACATTCCCTTAATCTATTTTTCCTCTGAAATTGCTAAAGGAAATTTGGCTTTAATGGAGGGGAATATGTCAATTTTTACAAATGATTGTAAATCTGCTCAGAGGGAACTCGGATGAGTCGGTCTGTGACTGAGCAGTAAAAGTTACTGGCATATGAAGGCGTCAGAAGGACAAAAAGCAAACGAGACGCTGTAATAATTATGTTTCTCAGTGTCACTACCTTTTGCAACATCTGGTTTGTTTCTGTTCTTTCCACATCCTGCAGATGTTGCTGAACACATGAAAAGCACTGACAGGAGAATATTTTAGCCAAGAAGCAATTTCAGTGAATAATATAAAAGGGTATCCTCTTAACTCTCCAGAAGTCTTTGCTTACTAGACTTCTAGTTTCATTGCTGGTAAAGATCAGACCAATAAGCAAATGGGCCAGGGGCCCTCTAAAAGTGTCAGAAATAATCTGTTGTGGATGAAATAGAAAAGTATGTGGAGACAGCATGAAATAACAGATCCAGATTGGCTCTTATTCTCACACCCTCCCTGAGCTTTACTCCTCAGTATTACTACTGATAACAGAGGTACCTACTCGAGCTGTGGGATTTCTTTCCTTGCCCACCTCTGATTCATATAGCAAAGGAAAAAGGAAGAGGAGTGAAGTGCAGGGAGCCTGTGTACATACCATGGGTATACTGCCTTTCAGGGTGGAATTAGACTTAGTTTTCTGTCCATTCATCTTTGTCATCAGCATATGTGCAGAGCTGCAGGACAGTTGCTTGTCCTGAGAACACCACACAGCGCAGTGCGGGTGACAACCGTGTGATGCTCTGACCACTGCTGCCCTCAGATTTTGCTGCCCAGCACAGCTCTGCCAGCAGTCAGCATTGCCGTGCTGCTGTGCAGCTGAGCCTACTGACTTCCTTTCTGGGGATTGGGACTGCTCTGGTGACTCCTTGCTCATCCTTGAGAAGGTACAGGATTGGGTCCTGTAGGAAGAAATGAGTGGAGAGGGGAGAGCCTGCAAAACACTGTTCTCTTCTGACTCTTTGCTGCCGTTTTTGTGCTAGCATTCCTGTTTTCTTGCCCACTATGCAGCTTTACCCTTTACATCTTTTCAGCCAATTGTGTATAAAAGTGCAGAGGTGACAGTTCTGGGAGAAAATGGGATAAACTCTGTAAGGTACCAGAATTATATAGAACTGTTCATTGGAAATAAGGGAATGGGCATAGCTCTACTATCTTTCTCAGATGTGGATTTTTTCAATCTGCATTGTAAAAGATGATTATTGATTTAAAAAAAATAATAAGAAAGGCTCAAATTCTGTTCTGTAGATAGCATGGGCACCTCTAGCTAATGCATTGGCTCATAGCTACCACAGGCATGCTGCTCTGCCATGGCAGTGGATGGCTCTGTCGCAGAACACTTTGTGCACTTTACTCTGCTAACACAGGCACCTCTGCAGAAACCCTTGGTCCTTGGCAGGGGTTACCATACTTTGCAGTCTGGGTCTCTTTTTCAGTATGCTCTGAAAAGAAATACTGATGGTGTTGCAGACACCCTTATGTGATGCTTGAATATTGAGTGCTCAGAAGAATCAGATTTTGATTACATGGGATAATGCAGAACAGGAATGGTAACTGCAAGACAGATTTATATCACTGTGTGCTTCTAGTCTGCAAACTTCTCATCTGCGTCTCTCAGAAATAGTGATGTGTGAAGGGTTCTCCTGCTTTATGCCAGACCCTTTCTCATATGGAGGACCTTGTGCCTGCATTTCTTCTGTTTACTTTTTGCCAGTCATGCTGGTGATTGTGGTACAGCAAGCAGCCTGGGCTGCTAGTTTGGCTGAGGCTGCTTGGAAGTCTTCCATCCCAATGACCAGCTGCATCACCTTGTTTCTGTGCTGATGGCAGGACAAAGTGCCTCTCCTGTTGGCGTGGGACCTCTTACCAACTGCAGAGTAATTAAGAGGTTGAAAATCGTGTGCCTTGGAGGTAGACCAAGGCCCAACCTGGCTAACCTTGCAGCAGAAACATCTTCAAAGTCTTTTCCTTTTATGCAGATGAGCATAAATCAGCAGTTGTTTTTCAGTAAAGCAGAAGTAGTAAATGGGAAGGTGCCTAAACAGGTGCATTGTTTCTCTCCTCCCTACTCGAGCAGCTCATTTTAATATACATCAGTTATTGCTGTGCATAATAATGCACATCTGTCAAACCCTTTCTATAGTGCATGAAAACACACCTACAGAGCTACAAAGCAGGAGAGCCGCTCAGCTGCACTGCTCTTTGCATTGCCAATGAATCACCTCCGAGCTGCAGTTTCTCCTTGCATGCTTTCTAATGAAATATGCTGTTCCTCTGCACAAAACATATTGAGACTGGGGTGGCCAGCACTTTTCCTGCTGTAACTCCATGGAAATTTCCAGTTTCCCACAAGCTGGGGCCCTGAGCTCTCCAGAGAGTGGAGAAAATGGGCTCCTTCCAGGAGGGAGGGAGGCGTGCTGGGTCGAATCCTGTCCCAGATAGAGCTACTGCAGCTCACATAAAGGACATGAGGTTGCCAGGGTGTGGCTGGCGAGAGAATTTGGCCTCATTTGAAATGTGTGAGTGACTCCAGGATGAGATCAAGAACTGGCCTCTCACCTCACCCCTCTCAGTATCATTTCTTTCTAAAGCAGCATCACTGCCTCACACTTGCATTCCGGTAGTGGAGGCTGGGTCCAAAGCCCTCTGAAGAAGTCAGGATTTTCCTTTTGGAGGCTAGATCAGGTTACTAAGGAAGACACACTATCCAACTGCAACAAGCTAGTTCTTTAGATATATGTTTGTTCAGACAATTCCTGGTGTTCGTGCTCAGAGCTGGATTTGAAATCCTTTTTGCTCTTACTCTTCTCTACCAAAAAGTAAAGAGAAGATGCAAAAAATAGTTCCTGAAGAAACTCCAGTGCTCAGCTCTGAGAGTCTGTATATGGTTGATGATGCTTGCAGAGGTCACAGGGATTAATGAAAAACACAATTAGAACAACATCAAGCTGGGGGCCCCGGTTTGGCACTGAAAGATACATTTGGGTATATCATATTGCATTATGTGATGTAAGAATGTGGGCTAGTGTAATCAAAATGTAACTGCAATCCTTACCAAAAACACCTGTTTAACCTCAGCTAACCCGGGAAGAGAACTTTAGGCTATTTTTTTCACTTCTGAATCGGAGGCACACTGGTGCACATGCAATAATGGAGCTTCTGTTTGTGGGTCCTGAAAATGGAAGGACTCGGAGCCTGAGCTCCATCTGTCCCCAAATCTATTTTATGTTCTTTAGTTATGTGCTTACTTAACTTAGTAGTGTGCTTGGGAAAACCACAAGGAAGAGAACTGGAGGCCAAAAATGAGAATATTTCCCTATTGATTGGATAAATTGTGCCTAGTGGCAATCTGAGCATCTCCTGGCCCAAGAACAGAGAGGACCATGAGTTACCAAATGCCCTGACTTGTTGGGGCAGTGAGGCTTTCTGGCACTTCTGGAGGAAAAAGTGGTTTCAAAGAAGAAAGCAAGTGACTACTAATGATCCGACTTCAAATTGCCAATTTTATTGCTTCGTGTGCTGAGCCCTTGGAAACGTCCCCTTGGCTATAAATGCTGAACAGACAGAGGCAGGGTGGCTCGGCAGCGAGGAAGAAATGTCCTGGTGGCTCAAGTGTCAGTGTGAGAATGGAGAAGAGCGAGTCTTGTTTCCTGTTCTGCTGCATGCTTACTGTGTGTGAGAGAGATGAGGAAAATTATTTAGGGTGTAATTAATTCTGCCTACTTTTGACTATTTAGAATTTAGTTTCATTTTTGCCTTTGCACTCAGTAAAGTTCCCTCCTCAGTCAGCGCTTCATCCTAGTTGTGCAGTTTCTTGAGGATGCAATGGTTGAAGAAAATCAACTTTTTACATGGATAGATACTGATAGGACCAAGAAGAATGGTTTTTAAACTAAAGGAAGGGAGATTTACATTGGATATAAGGAGAATTTTTTTTACTGAGAGTTTGGAGGTGCTGGAACAGGCTGCCCAGAGAGGTTGGGAATGCCCCATCCCTGGGGGTGTTCAGGGCCAGTTTGGTTGGGGCCCTGGGCAGCCTGGTCTAGTACTTGATCTAATGGCTGGCAGAGGGTTTGGAACTTGGTGTTCCTTGATGTCCCTTCCAATCCAAGCCATTCTCTGATTCTATGAGTCTATGATTTCCCTCCCACAGTTACAGAGGAATACCTGAAAAGGGATGCACAGCTTTTCATTAGCTGAAAGTAGATGAACAGCATATTTTCCCCAGGCATCTCAGTTGCTTGCTGCTGTAGAACAAGGATACAATACTTCCCTTTTTCATCGCTGTAAGAATAAATATGGTAAACTTTCAAAGGCACACCTTTCTAATAGGATGCTGTTATCTTTGCCTGTAACAGGCAGTGTGTTTCAGGAGATGGTGGGAAGCACTTGTGTTTTTTTTGATCTCTCAAAGCAGATCAAAAAAGTTGCTACCAAGACTTCAGAGGTTCTTTTTCCCTTGTAAGCCTCGAATCAAATTGCTTCTTGCAGGGTGAACATCCTAACCCTCTTCTGCCATTCTGCAGTGATAAATGGAGGGTGCTCACTGCCTTGTGTAAGATTAAGAGTTCTCAGGGAGATTTCAGGTGTCCGACTGCTGACTGAGGAGCCCCAGTGCAGGATTCAGGTGGCTCAGTGAAGATGCATGGGCCTGCAGCTGAAGCTACGTCCTGAGCTGGTGATAAACCAGCAAGCTTTATTGATTCCAGCTGAGCTATTGCCTTTCTTCCAGCACCAAGTGTCTAGAGGATATATGATAATTTTACCCTTCCAAGCAGAATTCTGAGCGCAGCGTTGAAGCTTTTGTGAAGTGTAGTTCTGGAACAGTGGTCAGTGATGGAAAGATAAAAAGAGATTTCTGGAACAGTGTCATACAAGTGAGAGACTTGGGCTACATGTTTTAAAGAGTCAGCAAAGCTGCTATGGTGGAATAGCTCAGAACTGAAGGCTGCACACAAATCTCTCTTGCAGGGCAGCAAACTACATTGCTCCACGCTCCCGGTTTGCTATTCCCCATGCTGACCTACTGCAGAATTTTCTTCCTAAATGCGTCATGAGACCTCACACAGGGCAGAATGGGAAAGAGAAGGAGAAAGAGCATGAGCTGAATAGAGTACAGGTCCCCTTACACCACCACCAGAACATGCCATAGCGTACTTCATACACTATGCTGGCTTTGGTATACCAGCAGAGTTACAGGACCCGTAATCTTTGCATGGAAAGAGTTTGCACGATGCCCACCTGAGCAGAGACCAGTTTAACCAGCACTACAGAAATTGCTCATTCCCATAGGCATTAGATTGCCAATATTTTTAAGGAGATTACCAATTGTATTTTTTTTTTTTAATCAAAGCAAGGTGAAGCAACTTCCCATGCTCTGCTGATGTCTTTTTTCAGGGAATGGTTTATCTGAGGCAGAGTGTATCAAGTTCTCCACAGGCTTGTCAAGGCAAATACTTGTCAATGCTCTAAATACTTTTGTGAATATTAGGGAATAATCTTGCAAGAGGGATAAGAGCACAAGTTCCAACTGACCCCTTCCGCCCCTTTCCTCAGCCTACAAAACCTGGAGGGATTAGTTGCATTTTGAAACAGATGCCCCTATAATTAGGTAAGAAGAAACATGACTGACTGTTTTGAAAAGACACCTTTGGGTAACATAGCAGCAGACCCACAGATCCATTACCAAAGTACAATCTGACAAAACAGCTTAAGGTCTCAACTCGCTGCTCCTCTTTCATGACGGCAGTTTATATCAATGAAGATGCCTTGTAGTCCTTCAGCCTAGGAAGGTTCAGACATGGGAGGGCCTGTGGAAAAATTTACAACAGCCAAAAAAAAGCCCGGTACTGAAATTTCTTTAATCTGATCAGACTTGTTCTTAACCCTGAGACATAAATATCCAGCACATTACACCTTTGATTTACTATTATGCATGTATCAGAGCAACAGTGGTTCTTTTGAATTATGCATTCTCTTAACAGAACATTAAACCTTATGGGGAGATGGAGTGGCCCAACACATAACTATTATCCTGACAGAGGGGAGGGTGAGATCAAGAGTAATGCTCCCAAGCTACAGAAACTCAGAGTTTTTGTTGGATTGCTTGAATGAGCATTATAAATAGCACTTTGTTCCTGCTCGTTAATAAATAGTGCTTAGATGAGTCACGAGAAACCTGATAGATAGCTCATCAAGAGAAAGAGGAGGTTTTATTATTTGGCACACAAGAATAACAAAATCCCCAAGCCCCAAAACTTGCCCTGGAAGTCCTCAAAGCAGGCAGCAAAATCGTGGCTGCATTTCTAAGGAGAAATACCTTTTAACAACTTGATAATCCATCTATTATTGCTTCTTCATATCAAGTTATGACCAAAAGTTACTACAGTACTACAGGAAATCAAGTTTGATTTTGTAATATCATCAAACGAGTACTTTGGAGTGCCATGTCCAAAATCAATAAGGAAGCAGTAACTACATTTGCTGTCATATGATGATATTGATGTAAAAACATAATGGTTAAAAGTATAAAATCAATTTCATAATTTAATCAGAAATGTTTATTGATACTATTAAAGCTGAATTCAATAGCTCCTGGTATGCAGTTAATTTCTTACCTGTCAGAAAAACATATTGAAATGTTCTTTCTTTTAAATTCTTGGAGTTAATTCACTGAAAAAACATCAGAGACCTGTGAGTGCAGTGGGCAGAGGACAGCTGTGAGAACAGGAAGCGAATGGAACATTTTCAGCAGTTTATAGCAAGATGCTTATCTCTTACATGTGCACACATACACGTATAATATAATGCTGGCAACAGCTAGCTGCTGCTAACTGCAGTGCTGTAGCGTGAAGTCCTGACACAGGTGAAGACGGTGGGAATGACGCCGTTGAATCCTGCACAGCCTGGACTGGCTGTGGGAGAAGGCTCAGAGTTTTCCCTCCTTCTGAGGGACTGGGATCTGATAGTTTCAGGCTGTTACCTGCTTGTGCTGTGTGCTCCTGCCATGGAAACAGAGAGCTGAAGATTCTGGAGTTGTTTTTTTCTTTTCTTTCTATATAGCTAATGAAAGATTAGTGTTCCTTTTTAGGAATGGCCAAAAATGTATGTTAAGATTTTGTCACTGTGATGAAAGGTCTATTTCCACTCACTGAAGTTAATGCAAGTAAAATGTACATGTCATGTGCAGGACATGATCTGGACATGCACAGATTTGTCTGTGCTGCAGTTCCTATTCCTCTCAACTTTAAATCCTGCTACAGGATTTCTGCAGTACCTAACCAGCAGAAGCTAACTTAAGCAGCTAGTACATCAGGCACGAGTCTTACCACAGCCACGCTGCAGAGTGTTCGTGAAATAGAGGAGCTTACCATGCACATAAGCCTTTTTCTCTTCCCTTTGTGAAGTGCAGAGACTATTTTGGAAGCCAACAATGGCCTTCTCTGCTGTCATTTTTCTTTCATTATATTTATCAGTACAGAATCAGATAATCTTTTCTCCTTCATAGCCTAGGAGCTAGCATAAGAATCATAGGAGCAAGCATAAGAAATCTACCTATTTCAAGGAGTGTGTTTAAATGACAGCCAAGAAGATAGATGAGGCATTTTTTTCAAAGTGGAAGCAAATTTAAGTCACTAAATCACACCAAGAGCCACCTTTCTCAAACATTTCCCTATGTCCCAATGTCCTTGAAATGTGACCCTAAAATCTGAGATCATTAAGAATTTTTTCATCTTCAGATTTACCTGGAGGATTTCTATTTGGTGAGTGAGGCTATTTCTTGAGCTCATTTATGCTGGTTGGTGGAAGCCTGCTGTACTGAATATGAGCCAATGGAGAAGTACAGGAAATACCAGAAGTGGCATTTCACCTCTGACATCTGCAGTAAGATGGGGTAGATCATCCTCATAACACTCTTTTGGTTTCCATTATGGAGAGCGTGTAGAAGATTAGATACAATCTTGACTTTCATATGGCTATAGGAGAACTACATAGTCATTGATTTTGGAAGGATGCAAATCCAGAGATGTTTTAAGGTGGCAACAAATGAACTGCAGAGTTCAGAACATTTTGGTACCTATTAAAATGGGATTGTCTGTCTCAGCGAGTCAGACTTTTAAGTGAGATTTAACCCAGGGAGTAGAGCCAATTAGTTAAAAATTAGAGCATGGACTAAATGGGGCTGAGGTCTTTTCCTCACACTGACTGCTTTTTGGAGAGCTTTGTGCTTGTCTAAATTTCAATTTTCCTTCAGCAGTATTTCTACTAATATATAACTCATAATGACCTTCTGTACCTGAATTCAGGAACGATTATTAACTGCCATACTATTTTGAGTTGGGCTGTGTTTGAGAGCTGGGAATGGCAAGATTTGCTTTCATAAAAAAGAAGCTGAGTCTGCCATCTATTTGCAATATTCATCTATAATACACGTAACAGGAAAGCAACTTGAATTTTGTACCTGAGAAACTGACATACCTTATGACTGATATTACTGGTCAAAAAACAGACTTAGCAGACTGTCATACGTAGAGTAGGAAGGAATGGAGCTGCTGCATTGTGCCAGGGCTGGGGGAGAGTGGAGACTTTTTGTTGGAAATGGTCCGACATTTTGGAGAAGCGTTTAGAGAAGCCAAGATTAAAAGCCTGAATGCAGAATATAAGTTTAAAGAGATGGTGATGGATTACTTAATTCTTTTATTAAGACCCTGTGCTGTGCAATACTCAATACAGGTTATCGGTGGTTTAAAAAGATGCCATCATGACTGAGGAAGAACAGAAAAGTGCAGTGAGATGAAACTTGGACTAAAAAGAATATGAAGACAGATTGGAAATTTCAGGTTTTTGAAGGCAAATCCTGTGTGGTTCAACTAACCTACACAAATTTTTAAATCGTGTGTTCAAATCTACACGTTTACTGTGATGTCATAAAGCCCATAATAAACATTTGGTTCTTTGCCTACCATGAAGATGCTGTTGCATTTTGTTGTGAAATGTGGTAGACTGAGGTCATGGAGATATTATCAGATCTTTCACCACCACGCATCCAGGAAAATAAAATGTGAAAATCAGTTTTCAAAGCTCAAAACTCTTAAGATATCACAACGGTTTCTGAGTTTTAAAGCTTGTAATTGCAGCTCTTAGTGAAATGCCTTGTGCCACATTGTTAATGCTTGTTAGATGGCAGCAAAAAGGCCATGTGGAGCAATTGTTGTGACTTTGCTTGTGCTTGTTTTCATCTGTTACTAGTCTTTGACAAACTGAAATGTGGCATTTTAACCTTAACTGCCCATCAGGTCTGTCATCTCTCCCTGCAGCTTATGGGTAATTCTGAATTCAGAGCTGTGCCCATCAGGATGCCGATTCTTGGGCAAAACCAGGCGATAGATAAACACCAAAGGAGAGCACATGTGTGACTAGAAAGGATAAATCTGGATAATGAGAACTTCAGTAACATCAGGACGATGTACTGAATCTGCTGTATGACCAGATAAGACCGTGAGTGATACAAAGCTATTCTTAGTGAGAGATCTTTGTACTGAGCAGAAACATAAAAACAATCAAACCAGAGCCCCAACTCTGTGCTCATGAACAGCGTGGTCGTTCAATAAATTGATAAATACAGAGTGACACTTTACATATCCTGGCTTTCCCCCATAGATAATCAGACAAAAGAATACTTAAGTGTCACAATATGATTTGGGAGTGGCACTAAAACATAATCAGCCATTTATTTGGTAGACTTTCCCACAGCTAAAATGATGGCTACGCCTAAAATAACTTATGAGTTGAGCTGAAATGAGTTTGTGGATGCTTGTGTGGCTCATCCTAAATGCGGGAAACAATCAAGATGATTTTTTTTACCGGAAAGTCCTCTAACTTTTTTGAAAGAGCTGAAAAAATTGCAAGAATGTTTTGGTAGGGTGTTCAGTTTCTGTGCCTGTAACATAAGAAGGTCTAGCAGAAAAAATGTTAATGCAAGATTAGTCTGACAGCTTTGATCCCCCCCCCCCTTAAAAAAGAGATCTGACTCAAGAGATCGGCTTCAGTTTGAGGTTGACTTTTGAGATTCTGGGGAGATTTACATTAAGCACCTAGAAATGTGTTGTCTTTACTCTAATGGTAAAGACTCTGTTTCTAGTTGGTGGGAGAGAAATGGTCACTTCTGTGGTTTGATTCATCTGTTCTGTCTCTGAAATTTCCTTTAGGATGGCATGGATCATACCCTGAAGATACCTATCACACTATTGGCTGTAGGCAGCCTTGATGACTAGCCTAGACTTACTCACATATTTATTAGGTGTGAAAAATGACTTTTTTGATCAGTTCACTAACACTTCAAGATTGTTTAACCACATCTAAGCGACCTAAGGCGACATCTGAACTGAGATATAGCAAGTAGGAAGAGGGAAACAGCAGTTTTACTTTTGGAAGTGAGAAAGAACAGGAGGAAAATAGTTCCTTTTCTTTTGGCTTTAGTACTAGATTATGTTCATCTCTTGAGCTTGAAAATCTCATCAACCTATCTATCAGTACCTGTACAGAGATCAGGGCCCTTTGGCAGAAAGGCAGCCACTGATATTGGGTTCTGCCTGTGAATTTAAGCATCTCACTCAGTCCAGGTGCACCAGCAGGACTTCTCATGGTAGCTGCTGAACATGTGCACATCTGTTAAAGGAATTCTTCCTCCTTTACAGTATGACTGTGAGTAACCTTGCAGAAAGCAGCTATACTGAGGTGGCCTAAACTCCAGCTGTGTCTCCTTTACCTGGTCAGTGCTGAGCTCACTAGCCTCAAGAAACATCTCAAGTCTGCTACATATGGTACCGAGGAGGGAGCTGCTGAAAGGTAGTTAATGGGAAACACCGGGTAAAGTACTCAGGGAGTAGGAAGTGCTTTCCAGCAGTAAGGAATAGTTCTGACCAGGAACATGTTGAGAATAATATTTGAAAATAAAATGGTGAAGAAAAAAAAAAAAAAAAAAGGCTAATTGAGTTGCTGGTGTGCACTTATTATGCTCTGGGGTTCTGACGAAGGCTGGATTTAGTCCTGGTTATTGGAATCAAAGGAATGATGCTCAGACAAACAGCCCACGTATCTGCCAGCACTTCAGTTACTGAAAATGTATTCTACAAATTCTTTGTGATCTTGTGATGATGGAGCTGGCTTGGTGGAGTACATCCTGGACATCACTGCAGTAAATAATTACTGTTTACAAACGAGTTTACTGACTGGCAGGAAGGATTGTGTATTGCTTCTCTCCCTGGTGTTTCCTGTGCCTGAGTAACATAAATCACAGCACATTTTAGTAGGGTGACAAAAGTATTCTGCTTAATTTGAGGTTTGCTGAGCTTTTCTAATTGGTGGATGAGACATTGAGATGACATTATGTTTCTCCTACTTGGCAATGTTGCAGTGTTTTGCTGCTTAAAGAATATTACAGTCTTTTGGCAATGCTGAACTCCTCTTGCTGTGAAGCTAGAAGATGCAGATTATTTGGAGAAGAGGTAGCAATTATCACAGAATGATTTCCAGGAGATGCAGGAAAAGGAAGGCCTTTGATTTGACCTGTAATTTTAGATGTTGGGAATGAAAATGACCCAAGTGACTTCATCATCTAATGCATACCCCTGCCCAGTGCAGAACTGATCCTGGCTTTCTGGATCACTTGTTTAACTTGTTCCTACAAATCCCCAGTGCTAAAGGCTTCGCCGTGTGCTGTTCCTCGCAGGAGATCTAATTTAAG